CTCACCTACAATCACAGAGCATTCTGAACCCCACCAATGATGGAATTGAACCAAACTTGGCACACAGTTCTCCCATGACCAACAGAAAATACTGGAAGAGTTTGGTGGGCAGTGTCCTTTGGTTTTGGAGTTGTAGTTCGCCTACATCCAGAGAGCACTGTGGACTCAAACAATGATGGATCTGGACCAAACTCTACATGAAGACTCAATATGCCCAAATATGAACACTGGTGGAGTTTGGGGAAAATAGAATCTTGACATTTGGGAGTTGTAGTTGCTGGGATTTATAGTTCACCTACAATCACAGAGCATTCTAAACCCCACCAATGATAGAATTGGGCCAAACCTCTCACACAGAACCCCCATGTGGACTACAGCAACTCGTGGCAGGGGACGGCTAGTAGTAGTAGTAGTAGTAATAATAATAATAATAATAATAATAATAATAATAATAATAATAATCAGCAGAAGGTCAATGGCATGTTCACTATTACAGGTCATGTTCCATTAACTAACTATGGCACTCTAGATCAGTTAAAATTTCTGAACATTTTTCAAACGCATCCCTACCATCGCGTGGCCTCCAGAGAGAGGCGCACTAAGGTCTTCTTAGTTCCACTTGGCAAGGAGAAATGTGTGACTGTAAGCTAACAAACAACTCCAACGGCCATTAACTCACTACTAATGAATTGGGAATGGTGAACAATTAAGCCAACTGTGCATGCAACAACGATTTGGGAATTTGTGGACTCTGAATCCATTTGCAACACTTGCAATCACTGTTGTGGATAAGGTTCCCATGTATACAGTCCCATGATGTAGTACAAAGGCAGGAGGCTTATCCCCAGGAATAAATTGGATTCACTTGTGCCTTGTACTTAGAATATTCCAACTAGATAAATTAAAGGAGGAAGGAGAAGCCACCCCAGGTTGGAGTTACCTTCATGGGCTGCGGATTCCGCGTAATGGCTTTGCCAATAAAAAGCCTCTTAAAAGAGGAAGAATAATTAACTCTGCAGAGAGACATATATGTCTATGATTTACAAGAGAAAGAGTCGACAGTACAACTTGGGGAAGGAGCTTATCAAAAGGAGCAGAAGCATTACTTTTTCCTTGGGAAAAGACACATACCATCCCAGTGTAGACTACACACACGTTTCGAAAGAGGACTGTGGAAAGCACTGGCAACTCTCCCACCTTCTGCGAGTTTCAATAGCTATGCCGAGTTTATATTTAAGATTCCCACATGCGCTTGAGTGTTGAAGCTTCAACTACTTCCATGCACAATCCATTACAGAATGGACGAAGCCACTAATAGGCAATGAGATCTGGTTTTGGATCAGGACAGGCCAAAAGAGAAGCCTGGGATATCAGTAAGCAGGACTCTATTTTGGGAGTGTAAGCAAAGGAAGCAGACATATTGAGAGGGTAAAGTGAGAAGAAGGAAGGAGCTGGAGGTCTCTTAGGATTGGTTAGGGCAGATGGGAGGAGTTAAGTCCTGAGAGAGAAAAGTGTCAGCTTCACAGAGAGCAGGGAGATTGAATTTGGGAACAGAAGAGAGGAGAGGTAGATTTTTGAGATTTTTCTGACAGAGAGAGTTTGTGACAGGCAAGGCTGCATTATTGGCCAGGACGGTCAAGTAGTCGCCTGGGTGCTTGTGTGGGTTTACACAAGTGGTTTGCTCTCTGAGTAGAGTAGATTAGCTTATAGAGGACTCTGCTTAGAGTGGGGCTAATTGCTCTGTAGATAACCTGAGTAGGTTAGTCTGGGGAACTCACTGCTACTGTGTTACTGTAGAGTGAGGAGTTTTACTAGTGACTAAGTCAAGTAACCTGTTTAAAAAAACGATCAAGAATATTGTACTTCAGTAACCATTCAAGCTTGTGTGCCTCATCAATGAAGACAGTTACTTGTTTGACTTTATCAATAAACTTTTCTCTAGTTCAACTTTTAAAGAAGCCTCAGTTGTAATACATTCCTGTGGGAATAATTCTAGCTGTTTCAACATCTTAACATCACAGTCATCTCAGGGAGCAAAGGAAGAACTGGGTGGCAGGGAAGAAGTTGATCTCAGAGAATCAACTTTCATATCCTAAAGTCTTTTAGGTGGTGGCAGCAAATCTTCCAGAGTATACACGTTGCCTCATATATTTATATAAACACTCCGTGCCAGAATCATATTCCTTTAAATTGGTGTCCAGTTGTGGGATTCGTAACTACGATCCATTAAAGTGTTGACCAGCGGTGTGATTTAGAATAGCACACTCATAATAAATTCATTGTCAGTATCGTAGTTCTTTATAATTGGTGGCAGCGGCGTGATTTATTCTAAGAGACATATTATCCGTAATTTATTAGAACAGGTCAGGTGACATTAAGTATTTTTTTTAAAAAAAATAATAATTTTTAATTGTAAAAAGGTAATACACTGACCAGGCATGTAGCCAGGGGGGGGGGGGGGCCTTGAGGGGCTTCACCCCCCCCCCCGAAATTCTCATGGTGGTTCGCGAAAAGGCCTTACTGGTGCATTATTTAAACTGTTATGTTTATTCATATCATGATCTGATCACCATACTCAATGTATCCCATATGCATGGGGGTATTGGGTAACGATACAAAAGGTTTGCTAGGGTAGACCCTCTTTCACTCAGACTCAGCCCCCCCCCGAACCAAACTCCCCCCCCCCGAAATGAAATCCTGGCTATGGGCCAGACACCGACCATATACAATGCAGACATATACACATACATAGACAACCCACCACCCACAGTACAGTTACCCCTCAACCCACCCCCAGTGCTACCCACTACCTTGGCTTCCGTCACCGATTCCCGCAGAGTTTATGCACATCTTGTTTAACCATCTATATTTCTAGTTCAATAAATTCCTTTTGTTATTATTTCTTTAACTCTCCCGTCAAGAGAGTTTAAAAAATATTTCTTTCAAATATTTCATGATTTTTATATTTCAAATTGCGAGAAATCTTAGCCATCTGTGCATAACCCCACAGTTTGTCCTTCCAATTTTTGATGCTTAATGTTTTCTCCCCTTTCCAATCGTAATGCGTGCAGCTGCAAAGCTGTACAGACAAATTTCTCTTTCTGGTTGTTCTAATCTATCTCTGAATATCCCTAATAGACACACACCTGTTTTTTTCCTCTTTGTTGTGGATCATTTTATTTGTTTCTTTTATTATTCTTTTCCAATAGACCTGAATCAGTTCACAAGGCCACCATACATGAAAAAAAAAAGTCCCTTTCTTTGTTTTGCACCTCCAACAGGAACCTGATTGTGAGCTGTCCATTTTGGGTAGGGGGGCTGGGGTTATGTAGCATCTGTAGAACATTTTATATACATTGTCTCTAATTGAGGATGACACATTTAAGTATTGAAGGAGATAGAAGGGGAGGAAAATCCTGCTCTAATGAGAGGTTGCATCTAGAAATAAATTCCCAAAGTACCAGGGCAACATGTCATAATATATTCCACAATCCTTGGAAGGTGCTAAACAGACAGCATTCTGGCACCACGAGATGAAGAGCCAACCTTAAGAAATGGGGCCACAAAATGGAGTCCATGACATGTGAGTGTGGAGAAGAGCAAACCACGGACCATCCGCCGGGAAGTAGCAGCCAATAGTGAAAGGACCAAGGCAGAGACATCTCCAGCTCATCCCTTGTTTGGGTATCAGCCAGCACATCAACGACTTAAATCAAGACATAGTTTTCTAAGATCTACAGAGACACTCGCTGGAACACCTCAGCAAGTGAGAGTCCAAAAGTGGCAGGCTCAAACACAGAACCTCAACCCATGCTGATACCAGATGAGAGACTCCCCCCTGGGCACACAGAAAACTGGGCGACTTGGAGGATGCTGAACAGACTGCGCTCTGGCACCACGAGATGCAGAGCCAACCTTCAGAAATGGGGCTACAAAGTGGAATCCACGACATGCGAGTGTGGAGAGGAGCAAACCACTGACCACCTGCTGCAATACAACCTGAGCCCTGCCACATGATGCACCATGGAGGACCTTCTTGCGGCAACACCAGAGGCACTCCACGTGGCCAGATACTGGTCAAAGGACATTTTAATCAACTACCAAGTTTGCAAAATTTGTGGGGTTTTTTATCTGTTTGTTTTGTTCTGTTAGAAATGTAACACAATGGTATGGTTGCTGATGACACGATAAATAAATAACCTATTACAATGCAGCCTGAGCCCTGCCACATGCACAATGGACGACCATCTTACAGCCACACCAGAGGCACTCCAAGTGGCCAGGTACTGGTCAAAGGACATTTAGTATAAAGCCAAGTTTTTAACTTTATGTTTTTAAATACATTACAACGGTACCCTCAATTCACTTCTGACATGATAAGTAAATAAACACAACCCTACAGTACAAAGAGACACCCTGGGGGTTCCGTTTCCCATAGGTCTTGAATGAAAGGCCATCATGTTAATGTTATATATCTTTAGATTTAAAGAATATGCGCCTGTCACTTTGTCAATGGAACACATACACGAAGAATCACAAAACACCAGCACCAAACAGAGCATAGGTTACAAACCATATAATTAGCACTGATGACCCACAATCAAAACTGCATAAGACCTATCACTCTGTGCTTAAAGTTTCTGCATCATGTCACAAACTCTGGATTTGGATTTGCTTAGCAACATGCATTTTGACTTCCAAGACACAGTTATGGCCTTTCCACACAGCCACATAACCCAGAATATCAAGGCAGAAAATCCCACAATATCTGCTTTGAACTGGGTTATCTGAGTCCAAACTGTTACATAATCCTGTTCAAAGCAGAAGATGTGGGATTTTCTTCCATTGTGAGAAAGGGGCTTTAGATTTCCAACGTGAATATATTTGCAGACCCAGAATCAATGACCATCAAGACACAAAGGGGATATGAAAAGCGACCCCCCCCCCACCTCGCCCGGAATAGAATTCACTGAGAGATGTGGGAAGAGATTGACTTGTACCTTTCATTCCAAATTTTGACCGTCGACCATATTTGTTGATCATTATAAAGAGGATTACCAGGAGGACACAGGCGAAGGCGGCAAGTCCAACAGCTATGGACACCTGTGGAAGACACAATTGAATGTCAGTATTATTTCTGGAATGCTCAAAGTGACTTGATCTCTGTTACCTTCATTATATGGATGATAATATAGGCTGAGCATGCCTTATCCAAAATTCTGAAATGCCCACACCTTTGCTTTCAGACAGTTTGCTGTACACCAGTGGTTCCCAAACTTTTTTTGACCAAGGACCACTTGATCAGGGACCACTTTGACTAGGGACCACTCTCCAACATTAGTACCAAAAGGGTTATGAATCAGTTTTTGGTCAACTTTAGGTTATTTGGGGTATTGATTCAGAAAATTGCATTGGGTAGACCACATCAGCTCTAGTTTCTGATACAGAACATATGCCATCTAGTAGTCACCATCTGCTCGCCCACAGAAAACCATAATCTAGAGCTGATGTAGTCTATCCAATGTATTTTTTTGAATCAGCACCTCATATAACCCCAGGAACAGGCCTAAAAATGAAGACAACATGGCACCCCCACTTCCAGGCACCACATGAAATCACTCAGTGGGGAGAGGAAATAATCATCATCATCATCATCATCATCATCATCATCATCTTTATTTATACCTCGCCACCGTCTCTCCAACGGGGACTCGGGGCAGCTTACATGAGGCCAAACCCAGACAACATACTACAGAAAAATAAAACCAAAACCATAAGCAACAAGCAACATCATCATAATTACATAAAAACATATGAATACAGTAACAATATAATATTACAATAAACACAAGGAAGAGGAGAAGCAGCAGTCAGGAGGCTTGTTGCACTTTTGATGGGGAGGCAGCCGCTCCCCTCCCGACATCTCCATTGCCTAAGAACAATAAGAGGGTTTTGCAAGACCAGTCACTCTTGTTATTTATTTATTTAAAACATTTATATTTTGCCCTTCTCACCCCGTAGGGGACTCAGCATACATATATACGGTAAGCATTCAGTGCTGGGACATAAAACCATAAATATATACAAACATTAAAATCACTTATATTCACATTAAAAGTTGCTTAGAAACTAGGGCTGGGCAACCACGGAAAAATTTGTTTCTAAAATCAATTCGTTTTTTGGGGGTTTTTGCGTTTCGATTTTTAAAAGAATTCCAAAATTTTTCTTTTAAAAAGTTCGATATTTACGAAATTTCGTAAATTACAAAACAATATGAAACAATTACAAAACAATTACAAATCGATTCGTTAATGGCGGACACGACCGCGCAATACGCTAAAAAACCTCCAAATGGGAGAGGGGGAACTTCTGAAGCTTCCCTCTCCCTCTGTTGTTGACTGTTGGTGTGATATTTAACTGATTAAACAAACAACAACTATAAAACTTGCCCCAGACATGCGGAAATAATAACGAAACGAATACAAACCGAATTCGAAACAACTACGAAACGAATTTAAAAATTCGTTTCATTTTTTAGTTGCTCCTGAATGGTTCGTTATCGCTTCGTTATAAAAAAAACGAATTTTTAACGAATTACGAAATTATGAAACGAACCGCCCAGCCCTATTAGAAACCATCTCAAGACACCATTTTGCCTCATTGGACTGCCACAAAGGCTTGGCCCCATAGCCAGGTCTTCACCATCCTTCTGAAGGACAGGAGGGAGGGGGCTGATCTAATATTGCCAGGAAGGGAGTTCCATAACTGAGGGGCAATCACTGAAAAGGCCCTGTCTCTCGTCCTGGCCAAACATGCCTGTGATGGTGGCGGAACCGAGAGCAGAAGATCTTAGTCTTTGCAGTGGTTCATAGAGGGAGATGCGTTCGGACAGGTAAACAGGGCTGGGGCCATTTAGGGTTTTATAGGCCAAAGCCAGCACTCTGAATTGTGCCCAGTATCAAACAGGCAGCCAGTGGAGCTGACGTAACATGGGAGCTGTGTGCTCCCTGTATGCCGCCCCATATTTTAACCTGGCAGCCTCTCATTGGACTATTTGAAGTTTCCAAACCATCTTCAAAAGCAACCCCATGTAGAGCGAGTTGCAGTAGTCCAGTGGTTCTCAACCTGGGGGTGGGGACCCCTGGAGGGATCGCGAGGGGGTGTCAGAGGGGTCACCAAAGACCATCAGAAAACACAATATTTTATATTGGTCATGGAGGTTCTGTATGGGAAGTTTGCCCCAATTCAATTGTGGGCAGGGTTCAAAATGCTCTTTGATTGTAGGTGAACTATAAATCCCAGCAATTACAACTCCCAAATGTCAAGGTCTATTTTCCACAAACTCCACCAGTGTTTAGATTTGGGCATATTAAGAATTCGTGCCAAGTTTGGTCCAGATGCATCATTGTTTGAGTTCACAGTGCTCTCTGGATGTAGGTGAACTACAACTCCCAAACTCAAGGTCAATGCCCATCAAACCCTTCCCGTGTTTTCCATTGGTCATGGGAGCCAAGTTTGGTTCAAATCCATCGCTGGTGGAGTTCAGAATGCTCTTTGATTATAGGTGAACTATAAATCCTAGCAACTACAACTCCCAAATTACAAAATCAACCCTCCCCCAACCCCACTAGCATTTACACGTTGGGTATTTGTGCCCAGTTTGGTCCAGTGAATGAAAATGCATCCTGCATATCAGATATTTACATTATGATTGATAACAGTAGTAAAATGACTGTTATGAAGTAGCAACGACAACAATATTATGGTTGGGGGTCACCACAACATGAGGGACTGTATTAAGGGGTCATTAGGGTTGAGAACCACTGTATTAAGGGGTCGCAGCATTAGGAAGGTTGAGAACCACTGCAGTAGTCTATCCTGGATGTAATGGGAGTGTGGACCAATGGTGTAGTAACGGTGAGGCCGCAGACCATATATTTGTTCTTAGGGAGTACTGGTGGTCCATGGACCACAGGTTAGGAGCAACTGCTGTACACAAATATTGTTTCATGGACAAAATTATTTAAGAATATTGCATTCATAGAATCATAGAATCATAGAATCAAAGAGTTGGAAGAGACCTCATGGGCCATCCAGTCCAACCCCATTCTGCCAAGAAGCAGGAATATTGCATTCAAATCACCCCTGACAGATGGCCATCCAGCCTCTGTTTAAAAGCTTCCAAAGAAGGAGCCTCCACCACACTCCGGGGCAGAGAGTTCCACTGCTGAATGGCTCTCACAGTCAGGAAGTTCTTCCTCATGTTCAGATGGAATCTCCTCTCTTGTAGTTTGAAGCCATTGTTCCATTGCGTCCTATTCTCCAAGGAAGCAGAAAACAAGCTTGCTCCCTCCTCCCTGTGGCTTCCTCTCACATATTTATACATGGCTATCATATCCCCTCTCAGCCTTCTCTTCTTCAGGCTAAACATGCCCAGCTCCTTAAGCCGCTACTCATAGGGCTTGTTCTCCAGACCTTTTATCATTTTAGTCGCTCTCCTCTGGACACATTCCAGCTTGTCAATATCTCTCTTGAATTGTGGTGCCCAGAATTGGACACAATATTCCAGGTGTGGTCTAACCAAAACAGAATAGAGGGGTAGCATGACTTCCCTGGATCTAGACACTAGGCTCCTATTTATGCAGGCCAAAATCCCATTGGCTTTTTTTGCCGCCATGGCACAGGCTATGAGTGTAGGTTGTATATGAAACATAACTTAATTCTGTGTTTTGGGTCCTATCTCCAAGATATCTCATTATAAACATATATGCATAATCCGAAGACAATCCAAATTCCAAAACACTTCTGTTCCCAAGCATTTCACGTAAAGGATACTCAACTTGTATTGTAATGCTATAGCGATAGGTAATATTCACACGTTTTATTTGAAGTAAAACAAAAATAATGTACGGAAGAAAAGAAAAATCAATCAAGAAAAAGAGAAAGCATATAGGATAAACACAGAACAAACCATTCCCACTGACAAATCAAGGCTGTTGTTGTTCTCCCTAATTTGCCATCCTGATTCCGATAACACAAAGAAAGTTTGACAGCCCCGAGTCAGTTTATTCATATATACAAAATGTTTTGGCAAACCACTCTGGTATAATAAGAACATTAAAAGAATGCAAAGGCTCTGTAATAATAGCCGTAGATTAGTAGTAAAACTGTACAGGAAAACAAGCTCAACTTGGGTGTTGACTGTGGAGTCCTCTTATCAACTAGACATCACAGTCTTGTTGTTTTCAACAAGAGAGCCAAGGAAGTCTCTTTTAAATTCGGAAATGACAAGAGTGGGCTTGCAACAAAAACAACTACAACAATAAAAATTCGAAGCCTTTGTGGAAAGGAACCTGAAAACATGAAGGCGGGTTTTTTCTTTGCAAACAGGCAGAAACGCCATACTACTTTCATTTTAGCCAGAAATCCATTCATGGTTTTACACATGTATTCAAATATGTAAATTGTCATGTAAATTTTGAAAAAGGTAGACACTAGGGCTGGGCGGTTTCGTTCGTTAATTTCGTAATTCGTTATTAATTCGTTATTTTTTTATAACGAAGCGATATTGAACCATTCAGGAGCAACTAAAAATCGAAACGAATTTTTCAATTCGTTTCGTAATTGTTCCGTAATTGTTTCGTAATTGTTTTGAAATCGTTTCGTTATTATTTCCGCATGTCTGGTGCAAGTTTTATAGTTGTTGTTTGTTTTATCAGTGAAAAAACTATATAATTATCATACGAACAGTCAACAACAGAGGGAGAGGGAAGCTTCAGAAGTTCCCCCTGTCCCATTTGGAGGTTTTTTTTAGCGTATTGCGCCGTCGCGTCCGCCATTAAAGAATCGATTAGTAATTGTTTTGTAATTGTTTCGTAATTTCCGAAATTTCGTAAATTTCAAACTTTTTTAAAGAAAAATTTTGGAATTCTTTTAAAAATCGAAACACAAAAACCCCCTAAAAACGAATCGAGTTTAGAAACAAATTTTTCTGTGGTTGCCCAGCCCTAGTAGACACATGTACTCATTGGCTAAAATGTATTTGTATGCATTGTAGAATTCTCAGCAGTTTCCTTTACTCGTTTTTCAAATGTGTTCATTCG